GATCTCCCCATGATCTGCATTTACTTTGTTAGTCAAGGTTTGGGACAAAAGAGTCGCTTCCCATGTTTCTTGAGGGTGATTCTTTGTTGCTGGAAATCCATGTACTGGACCATCCCAGCCAAGGATAGTATCATACCGAGGAGGGAGGGAATAAATATGGTATAGCAAAAGAAAATAGCAGTACATTTAAAAGAGTAGTTTGAAAAAAAGTCTCAAGAAACAATTAGAAAAGAGAAGGGAATTTCTTTGTGGGTACTGGCCAATAATTAGATTATATACCTCACAGCAATTTGCTGATCAAGACAGTTGCAATATATATCTATAAAAACCTATCTTATATACTTGACAGTAGGTGTGTGAAGTACTTTGAGATGGGTTCAAAGTGATAAGATGCTATGAAGACATTTTTTTTTCTTTCTCTTTCCATCCATTAATGAGACATTTTACATCTTAAACACTTGCTTGCTACTATTAAAAGCCATTTCACCCATCATAATATCCCTCAAGACAATCAAAAGGAATAATTAGGAGTGTTGAGAGTTACAATTATTTTTCTCATCTCCTCTGCTAAAAGAACTGACTCGTGCTGAAACACCGTTTTTTTAAAGTCTGGAACCTGCTCCTGGCACCTCATTCAAGGTGGTTTTCTTTATGTGCAAGCCTAGATTAGTGAGTGTTGGAAGGTTATTAAACAGTAGGAGATATCACATAGCCTGATCATGTCCTAACCCAGTATCCATTCAAACTCACTTTTGAACGCTGTATTGCAATCAGGATTTTCCCAGCTGGAGCCAACTATTGTGCCCAAACTGCTGTGCTGGATCATATCAGCTAACTCAGCAAAAAACAGGATTATGAACTTGGCTGTACTTTCTATCCTTACTTTAATTTATTCTCAAAATTCTAGGGTTTCTAAAAGGCAGAGCAGGAAAATTGGATGAATCAGTTCACGGGCAGTCTCAGTAACATTTCTTAGACTGGTCAGAAGACACATTTGAAATATATAAATAGCATCCCCCATTTTCCCATGATACTGGCAAACGTTTTTACTGGGGACTGCCTGAGGGTAAACGTCAGTCATAACCAAAATTCAAAGTCAATGTTTCCAATCCAGCTACAATTCAATGCACCAGTATTGAAGATATCAAGCCACCAACTGAATAGCTTATGTCCCTAAACTCAATAAGTCCCCTTTCTTCAGTTTTCTTGAAAAAGAGTTCTTTCATAAAATAGTCTGTAACCTCTGCCAACTTTATGGTGAAACTGTGACTGGCAGGCATGAAAACTTATAAATTAGGCCGCAATACATATACATTTTGACAAGGCAACTATTACTGAAACTAAATATGACAAGTTAGCACTTTATATTTCCAAATAAAAATTAACTAAAGATGATTTGCAGCATTTGTCTGCCATATATGTTTAACAAAAAGTAACCTAGAGGTAAATTAAAATAACAATAATAAAAATCATTGCATTTGATAGAGCTCCTTTCACGTTAAGACGAGCGTCATAATGCTTCGCAGTAAAGTCCAGTGACCGTATTTCTGGCATTCCCCCACAAAATGTCAATATTTTATAGTTCTCCTAGAGAGAGTATAATAGGAAAAAATTAACATAATGGCTTGATAAGTATTTATTGATTTGTGTGAGGAAGAGTAAAACTGCATTTAGTTTCAGCACAACTATGAGCAAGGTATACGAGCATATCAGCAAGCAGACTATCACCCCCCCCCACCCCCTGCTCAGGAAATATTAAAAACATTGGTTGACTTCAAGAGAGTCCAAGAGAAGAAGTGGGCATAGTCGTCCCAAGACTGGAGGGGGGAAGAGAGAGACAAGAGGCCCTGTACCATTTGAATGGGAAAGTTTGGTGGGAATTTTATAAGTCCTGGTGCCACTTCATTTCACAGAATTTATACAATGATCAGGCTTCTCCTCAGAAACACGATGGAACAGGGGAATTTTTATTTCCTTTTGGACACGCTGCAATTTGGGAAAAATCTTATTTGTGCAAATCATGGTAAGAGTGAGGATAAGGTATAAGGTATAAGCAAAGTAGTACCATAACACCCACTTCGCAGCACCCGCCTAGAGAGAGGGCCCAAAACAATCATTTGTTTTTAAATGGAAAGATATTTTCTTTGCTTCCCTCTAGTATTGCTGAACATGCAAAACAACACATTAAGAATGCAGGTAGCACTTAGACTCCTTAACTTCTCTCTTTTTTTTGAGGAGTGGTGATAAGTCTCTATTGAGTGCTATCAACAACAACAAATTACATTTGTATATTGCCCTTCACTTCAGGAGGACGTCCCAAGGCACTGGACAGTAAAGGATCCACACCCAAGCTGGTGGTTGGGATCAGAAGGGGTGGAAGGCAGGCAGGAAGGAGGGTGACCGAAGGCACGGTCGAAGAGGAGGGTCTTGAAGGAGGCAAGGGTCTCGAAGGAGGTCACAGAGGTGGGAAGGAGCGAGGTATCCTCTGAGTGAGGATGGGTGGGTGATAGAATCGCAGAGCCTCATGCCGGAGAGGACACAGGCTGCAGAGTCCTGGACGTTCCACAGCCTGTGGAGGGAAGGACACTGACAAGCAGGGAGTTTGCATAGTCGAGCCTGGATGTGATGAACACTTGGATGAGTGTCTCACAGTAGCATGACTGAAATCAGTAACCCACCAGGCAAAGGAACTCTGACAAAAACTTATTTCCTGCTACTTTGTGTGCCTGGGGTTTAATCCACTTGAACACATCATGATGTAGTAACATTCTGAACTATAGAAGAGTGACCACAGCTTCTTGGTGTAGATTTGTGTAGTTACTGTTCAGCCCTCAACTGTGTCAATCCCCTAAAATGCATGTTTATGTCAACATACCATCCTTCCCCTCCCCCCATACCATCTGTTATCTGCAACATTCGAAATGGTTCCGATTGACTTATGAGAATCAAGTTATGATTTTAAAAATCTAACGTTACTGGTTAAAAATGAATCCCTATTATTAAACTGCAGTCCTCCAAAATTCCTAAGCATAATTCAGCCTGAACTTCAAACAATCCTTACCCTCACACCATTTACACACAATACTCTTCTTTGTTTGTAAACCATCACAAATTGCCACACTAAAGCTGGCAAAACTGGCAGAATTTAAATGAAAGATTCAAAACTGACAGCTCCCTTGATGGCTCGGTTAGTAAAGCCTTGGGTGAATTTTATAAACTCAAAACGTTTAATCTCCAGTCTGAGATGAAAGAACTAATCTCAGTTGGGCAAGAACAGGTTCAGATTTTAGCAATCAAATAGCCTGTTGCTGCTCAATGTCTAAAGTCATACATATCAAGAATGGCCACTTTGGCAGGGTATCAGATGGCTAGTATCTTGGACACTACCCTGCGTGAGCGGCGCTAAGTTGTTGTTACCTGTGGAACCATACTCAGTATGCCTTCAACAACAAGATTTCATTTATAAGGCACCTTTCAAGTCAGGAGGATGTCCCATGGCGCTGGACAATTGGGTCGGGACCCGAGCAGTGGGAAAATGGTCAGGGTGAGGGGAGGGAAGGGAGGGAGCGAGGAGGGGGTAGAGAGTCGAGAGGGAGCTGAAGGCACAGTCGAAGAGAAAGGTCTTGAGACCGGCCTTGAAGGAGGAAAGGGAGGAAGCAAGGCGAAGGCACTGGGGATGGAGTTCCAGAGCCAACAGAGAGTTCAACAGAGAAGGGAAAATTAAAAAAAATTAAAAACAAAATCTCCTAGCCAGACATCGAGTTTGAACGTTCATTTGATCTCACGACCAAATGACTACGGTATTTTGAAAAGTTATAATGGCATTCAGGATTAACATTTGATGTAATCATTTAGAAAAGACTATAGAATACAATTGACTATTAAATTCCAATTACAAACGATCATTCACTCATCCAATATTTTACAGTATTTATACCTGATAGATTCTGGGACTTCATGAAGACGATTTAAGGAATACCACTGTTTTATTGCACTGGACAGAAGCAAGCATTCAGTAACAACCACCTACCTAGTGAGGTTTTCTTTTCTAATTTAAACACTGGCTTGCCAAAAAACAGCAATTTTTAAAACCTTATCGATCTAAACCTTAGAGGGGGGGATTTGAAAACAACAATATCACCAATCTAAAGGCGGAAACTTTTTTTTAATTAAAAAACCATTTGCAATTTTCAAACATTAGACCTTGAAATCTCTCGCTCCCCCCCAGTGGTGTGCATAAGAACCAATGTTGCATATGCAGTATTCAAATTCTATTTATTTTATAGATAGTTTTCCCTTCAAAACCTTCACCTTTGGCACCATTTTGGAAGCTTCACCTTCTAAAAAGAAATGTAACAAGAGAATTTCAGTATCAAACAGCATTTTGCGACACTCGACAACGAAGCTCAGTCTGCATCTAGTAGTCAGTCACAGGCTTTAAATGTACACGGGGGGGGGGGGGGGGTCAACCACGATATTTTCTCGTCGTTGTCTTCACACACACACACACACAAAAAAAATCTAAACGCGCTCTGGTGCCTACCGACCTCAGTGGAAAATATGCTGCGAAAAACACACACACAAGGTACCTTGATCCCTGCATCATTGCATTACAAATGCATGCGACTGTTGTGTGTGTGTGTGTGTGTGTGTGTTTTTTTTCGTGACGTTGGAAGTTACAAAGAACAAAATCGTGCCGAGGCTGCGATCTGCCCGAGCAGTGGGGTTGCCGCACTAAACAAGCAGTTTGGATTTAACGTCTGCAAATTGCTTTGTCAAAGCGGTGTGTACATCGAACTGCACATCGGCAAAGGAGGAGCTGGTGCAACAAGGCGACTTACTACTGCTCGACAACTGAAGCAGGTAACGTCCACGACAACACTGTAGTAACAAGCAATACATTTTCTCCACCAAACCACGGAGGCAGAAAAATCGTGCACCGCAGAGAAAAGCCTCCGTGCGTGTGTGTGCATGTGTGTGTGTGTGTGTGTCCACCTTACCTTCATGTCGACTTGAAAAACGCCGAATCTCCACTCGAAACCAGCAGCTCGCCGAGCTGCAGGAGGAAAAGGATTTTTTTTAAAAAATATTTTTATAATAATGATTTTTTTTAAAAAAATATTTTTTTTTAAACAAAACAAAAACACACACACACACACACACACACACGCTCGGAAACAGAAAGTAATTCGGAGTCGATTTCCTTGACGGGTGTCCTCGCGTCAACGAGGACAGTGAGTTGGCTGCTGGTCAGGCGAAAAAAAAAGATCATCTTTTGTAAAGTCCATTTGCTCTAATTATGCTCGTCATGTCTTCGCTTACATGGGGGGGTGTGTGTGGGGGGTGTGTGTGTGTGTGGGGGGGGGGGGGGGGTGGGGGGGGTGGGTGTGTGTGGGGGGGGGGTGGGTGTGTGTGTGGTGTGTGTGTGGGGGGGGTGTGTGTGTGGGGTGTGTGTGTGTGTGGGGGTGTGTGTGTGGGGGGGTGTGTGTGTGGGGGGGGGTGTGTGTGGTGGGGGGGTGGGTGTGTGTGTGTGTGTGGGGGGGGTGTGTGTGGGGGGGTGTGGTGTGTGTGTGGGGGGTGGGGGGGTGGGTGTGTGTGGGGGGGGGTGGGGGGGGTGGGTGTGTGTGTGCGTGTGTGTGTGGGGGGTGGGTGTGTGTGTGTGGGGGGGGTGTGTGTGTGGGGGGGGGGGGGTGTGTGTGTGGGGGGGGGGGGGTGTGTGTGTGGGGGGGGGGGGGGGTGGGTGTGTGTGTGGGGTGTGTGTGTGGGGTGTGTGTGTGTGTGGGGGGGGGTGGGGGGGTGTGTGTGGGTGTGTGTGTGTGGGGGGGGGGGGCAACAACCCCTCTGACGAAAGGCGAATAATAATGTCAAAGGGATTTTTAATTTTTTATTTTTTCCCCCCTCCCCCCCTCCCAAAAAAAAACACTTTAAAAAGATACTCGAAAAGGACGAGAGATCGGTATGAATTGCGACCGATGAAGCTGAAGGCGTCTGAATGCGTTTCCCCTCCTCTCTCCCTCTCTCTCTCTCTCTAGTTGTGTCAATGACGCCATTTCAGCCAGAAGCTGAAAGTTACAGGAGACTGACTGCATCAGTGGCAGCCAGAAAAACACTCTGCCGCTTCAACAGCACACGTAACACGACACACACACACACACATACATACATGGGCTTAGCAAAACATTACATAAAGACACATAGGGGAGAGTGAGTGAGTGTGTGTGTGAGGGAGGGAGGGGGGGGGGGATCCGGGAGGTCGTCTGAGGTTGCCTTTCTCTCCTCTCTTTGCTGCCGCTCCGCTTTAAAGGGCATCTCCTCTCTCCGAAGCGCTGACACGACTGGAAAGGAGCAGCCAACCCCCCTTCGGAGAGCCGCGGAGCCGCACGTCCAGAGCGAAAGGCCACACGGCTCCTGCTACAACCCCCACTCCCCCCCTCCCTCCCTCCCCCCCCCCACCCCCACCACCACAGCACACACCACAAACACCTCAAATCACCGCATAAAAACAAAGAGAAGAAAATCACCGGCGGCCGCTCGACTCTCTTCACCCCCCAACTCACTTCTCCCCCCACCCCCCGAAACAGCAGAGGCCACAACCACTGCTCTCCACTCGGCTCATTGTTTAAATCCCCCTCCTCACCGCACACAGCCACAGTGAGGAGTAGTGGGCCCCGCTCTCCGCCTTCCTCTTACTTTCTCTCTCTCTCTCTCTCTCTTTTCACTCAGACATTTTCCTTCCTCCTCCACAACCAACAGCAGCACCGCGACCACCTCCGCCACCCACTCGCCCGCCCCCCCCCGGCCCCTCGCTCTCCTTTCCTCACCGAGTTGAAGGGGGAAGAAATCGCTGCCAAGTGCGGCTCAGACACCGGGGGCTCCCCGAAGTCCACCTCTTCTTCTCCGATTCGACATTCAACCTCGGCGATGGTGAAGGGGGGGGGGGGGCGGAGGGGTGGGGGGGGGAGAGAGAGAGAGAGAGAGTGGAGGAAACCCGCAGCAAACCAGGGAGACACTTGATCAAACCTGACCGAGGGGAGGGGAGGGGAGAAAGGGAAGTGGAGAAAGGGCAGCGATACGGACTGGGGGCTGACAGGCACAGTCAGACCCGCTCGTTCCTGCTGCCAGCGAGAGGAGGAAAAAAAAACACTCGACCCGACTCAGCAACAAACAACCCGTCCCATTCGCTCTCCGTCACACGGCAACCGGACACGCGCATCCCATTGGCTCTGCCCGGGCGGCCGCGCCCGGAGGCCGCCGGGAGATGTAGTTCTCTTTCGGAACCGTCCCTCGGAAGGCGGGTGGCGGCGGCCACGCAGCACTGCAACTCCCGCCAGCCATTGCGAGGTCGTGGGGAGGAGGGGGGAGGCGAGGAGGACAGGGGGAAACCGCATGCGCAGTGTCAGGTACACTGATCTTTAAAAGACATTACCGCGCAGGCGCACTGGTATTAGGATGGCGTATTTTTGATGGTCAATGGCGGCGACTGGAACACGTCGGCGGCGGCTCAGGGCGCTCCATTAAAACGGTCGGAAGGGATCCCGCGGCTTCGGGCCGGCACCAGCACTCGAGTCATCGGCGGGATTTGCACAGCGTTGATAGTATTTTGAGGTAAGGTTCGTTTCCCAACAAAATCCCACAAATATTAAATTCGGGGTGGGGTTGGGAGGGGGGGGGAAGGTGAGGGCGGAAGTTGGGGGGGAGGTGACCCGGATGGGGACGCGGCCCCTCCCTCTCCCCGCGCCTCTGTGGTTTGTGTCGCGTCACCAGTGCCTGCCCTGCCCTGACTGACTGCCTCTCTGCCCTGACTGCCTCGACTGACTGCTCTGCACTGACTGACTGCCTCTCTGCCCTGACTGACGGCTCTGCCGTGACTGACTGCCTCTCTGCCCTGACTGCCTTGACTGACTGCTCTGCCCTGACTGCCTCTCTGCCCTGACTGCCTTGACTGACTGCTCTGCCCTGACTGCCTCTCTGCCCTGCTCTGCCCTGCCTGCCCGCCCGCCCTGCCCGCCTGTTGGCAGATTGTGCGGGTTTTTGCTGTTGTGTCTGTGTGTGTAAATACGGCTTTGGGCTGTTCCTAATTTACTAAAAAGAACATTTAAACCTGCAAAGCGTTCCACCACCCTCTTCGACATTTTTTTTCACACAGTTTCCAGAGCACTAACTTACATTGGCCATTCTCCTACCAACAGGGGGCAACTCATAACGTTGGGCTACTTTGGGGCTCATGTTTGTTGACTGGGCTGTAAGCGTGTTTTTTATTTTTGGCAAAACACTTGACCGAGAGTCTGCAGAGCAACGAGAGGAGTGACCGGAGCAAAATGTCTGTCTTCCTCTCTTTCCCTCATACACATCTTTCTATGCTCCCATCTTTGCGCTTCTTTACCATATTGATTGCAGAAACTTCAATTAAGAGACTTCTTCATGTTATGCTTTTCCAACATCATGATTTTTTTCCAAAATAACAGTGCAAGAGGTTTGGTTGGGGTCAGCCGGGTGCCCAAAGTACAGGGAAACAACAACCTTGCTCGAAGGTATCCGAATCGAAACAGAGCTCCATGCACTTTCCTGTGTCTGGAGCAGAATATGCACCCACTTTCTCTGGAGGGACACTCCCTGGTTACCTAATGCCCAGGGTTTATTGGGCACAAGCGTACCAGAGAAAAACGTGATTAGCCATAACTTACTGATGTACTATATTTCTGTGGGGTTTGATTTGTAGGTGAGACATTTTACATAGCAATGAGGCACAAACAGCCATGAAATTAATTATTACTTTTTAATTTGAGGTATTGTTGGCTAAGAAACTTTTTCAATTGTGCAATGGGTTCTTTAATGTGCACCTGAATAGACGGTAGCTCGGTTTAACATCTCCTCTAAAGGATGGCACTCTGATAATAGAATGCTCCCTGAGCATTGCTTTGGAGTGGCAGCCAAGATTGTGCTCAAGGTCCCGACGTGGGGTTTGAACCTGCAGCCACCTGAATCAGAGGTAAGAGTACGACCAACTGTATCTTTTCCATGGCATTCCTTCTGAAGTGTAGTGCTCAAGACTGGACACAATAACTGCAGGCTAATCAATGATTTGTACAAGTTCAGCAATAAAGTTTTGCTTTCTGCTTAATATTCCTATTAATAAAATCAAGGATTTATTGACAGCTTTTGTCAAATTCTCCTCTACTTGAACTCATAGGTCTCTTCTATTCCACTTTTTTTTAAAGTTCTACCATTTTGCAACAACAACTTCTTACGTTTATATAGCGCCCCTCGTATGGTAACTTCCCAGAGAGCTTACCATTTTGCCTATACGTACCTCATTACCCTTTCCAAAATACATCACATCATACTCGTATGCATTGTGTTAGCTTGGCATAGTTGGTAGCACTCTTGCCTCTGTGTTAGAGGGTTGTTGAGTCAGAGCCTCAGCACCTCAGGCTCTGGCAGCATCAATCTCCATGGTTGCACACTATAACTCACCAAATCAGTCAGGAACCTCGGTGTCTTGTTCGACCCTCAACTGTCTTTTCTCCTCCACATTCAAGCCATGACCCGCTCTGCCTTCCCTCACCTCCGTAACATCGCCCGACTCCGCCACTACCTCAGGCCGCTGAAACTCTTGTTCATGCCTTCATCACCTCCAGGTTCGACTATGCAAATGCAATCCCTCCCTCCACAGGCTGCAGATAATCCAGAACTCTGCAGCCCGTGTCCTCTCCTGCACCAAACTCCTTGACCCCATTTCCCCACTCTCGCCCGATTCCATTGGCTCCCTATCCTTCAGAGGATCCAGTTCAAGATCCCGGTCTTCACATACAAAGCCCTCCATGGCCTCGCCCTACCCTACCTCTGCGACCTCCTAACCCCCTACCAACCCGCCCGCTCCCTCTGCTCAGCTGGCTCTGGCCTGCTCCACTTCCCCCAACCCACCATTGGCATGAGAGCCTTCAGCCACTGTGCCCCCAACCTCTGGAATTCCATCCCCTGTCACTCCGTCTCGCCTCATTCAAGTCCCGCCTCAAGACCCTCCTCTTTGGCCATGTCATGGGCCGCTCCCCTCCCTTCTCCTCCCCCCCCCCCCCCCCATTCACATTCAGGCTCAATTAATCAAGCTCCCGGCTTGTCAGCCTTCCCAAACTTCTCCCTCTACAGGCTGCAGATCATCCAGAACACTGCAGCCCGTGTCTTCTCCCGCACCAGGCTCCGCGACCCTATCACCCCCATCCTCGCCTGGCTCTATTGGCTCCCCATCACTCAGAGGATACAGTTCAACATCCTGGTACTCACTTTCAAAGCCCTCCATGGCCCTGCTCCTCCCTACCTCTTGTGACCTCGTAACCCTCTACCAATCTGTCCGCTCCCTCCTCTCAGTGGGCTCCGGCCTGCTTCATGTTCCCTGCTTTACTCACCCCACCATTAGCAAGCAGGCCTTCAGCCTCTCTGCGTCCATCTTCTGGAATTCCATCCCAACAGTTCCCCTGCCTCGCCTCCTCACGTGCCTCCTTCAAGACCTGTCTCAAGAACCTCCTCTTCGACCGTGCCTTTGGTCACCCTCCTACCCCTACCCTCCTTGCCCTCCACCCCTCCTGATCCCAACCAATAGCTCGGTTGTGGATCCTTGACTGTTCAGGGCCTTGGGACATTCTCCTGACGTGAAAGGCACTATACAAATGTAAGTTCTTGTAAGTAGTATTAAATTTCAACTGCCATTTTTCTGCCCAATCTATTAAATCTGTCTGTTTTCCTGATATCACATACAGTCTTCTTTGCCGTTAACAGTAAGATTTTCATTTGCAAATTTTGTTATTATGTTCCCTATACCCATTCAGAGGAATGCACGGATTTATTTCCTCAAAGAATTCTATTAAGTTTGTCATAGATTACTTTTTTAACCCGTGCATCTCTAAGTGATATTAATTATTTGCTGTATCCTGTTTCTAAAAGTTTACCCACTGCAAATAGTAGGCTGACTAATTTATGATTGATTGGTATTATTCTTTACTTGAGTATGTGTTCATTGGCAACCCTCCAGTCCTCTGGCACAATTTTCAGTCCAAAGATGTTTGAAAAATTATGGTCAGTGTTTCTGCTACTTGACTTTTCTTAGCAGTCTTAAGAATTCTTAAAATCAGTGTCTGGTGACTTCCACTGTGAGTTCTGTCAATGTTTTCCTTTTGTATAGTTATCCTTTCTAATTGCTGTACTTTCTTGTGAACCTTTGCACTCACAGTATCACACTCTTCTGTAAAAACTGAGGAAAAGTACTCGTTTAGTTTTGTCATTCCTTCATCCTCCATTCCGATTTCTCTTTTTTACATAAATCGCGCTACCTTTTAGAACATTCTATTAGTAACACTTGGCGTTAACATAATACCAACCCAGGCAGGTTTAAATTCAAAAAGTATAGTATTTTTTCATGCATTAAGTGCACTTATTCTCATCATGTCAGTAGTTCATCAGTATGACTCAGAGCAGTGGAATTAATGGCACAGCTAAATTCACACTTCCTCTATCATCCAAAAGGAATCCTGTACAAGCTGAGCTTTTTTTTAAAACTTTAACACTTTCAACTTTGCTAACTAGTCTTTAAGGTACTAAAGGGCTGCCATGTGACCTTGTTTCCTATCCAGTCTGTGCATTCAGGAGAAATAAAAGAATATTGGCCAAAAAAGGGAATAACCAGCTTCCCATTAACTTCATGATTTCACAATGCATAATTCTGTAGCTAGCAATTTATTCTTGGGCCTACTCAGCAAATAGCTTTGAAAGGCAGCATTTTTTCCCTCAATAGTGAAGTGCCACTCTATTGAGTGCATAAGCTTAAATTCAGGAATTTGTTATTCTGCTTCATTGAACTGACTATATGACCGTTTTAGCTTTAAGTTGTTCCCTTCTTAATTAGATTATGGGACATTAAATTGCAGTGTTTATTTGAACAGTAATTTGTCATCTTTTTAAAAATTTGTGCATGTATTAAAAACTTGGTTTATTCCTTTTCACTATCTATGGACAAAGTCCATTGCTAGACAGGTAGTTAAGAGTTAATAGGCTTCTTAATGCATGGCAGTCCAAGTGTAAAAGTATGCTGTTGCATTGTTCAGTTTGTAAGCTTGTCTGTTATGCTATGGTTCAGCATTTTGTTGCATGTCTTTTTGACCCAGAGCCATACTGCAGAATACAGGTAAAGTCATATAAATCATCTTGTTTTAAATTGTATAATCGCCTAAGTCGTACATACTCCTGAGTCCCATTCAGTTTTATACCCCCAAAAAAATTAGATTTCTTTGCACTAGTTACATATTACTAGTTAGCCAGTTTTTCAAAATTGTTCTGTGGTATCCTTAATATCTACCAGAACAGGCAGACAGAATATTTGTTCAATTAAATGTATTCTTGCAGATAGTGTAGGCTCCCAATCACCAAATGGATCGATTTCAAGATCCTCACTTGTTTTCAAATCCCTTCTTGCCCTCGCACCTCCCTACCTATCCAACCTGCTTACCCTTCACTCCACCATCTGCTGCTTCCGCTCAGCTGGTTCCGGCTTCCTATTTGTCCCTTGTGCCCTCTGTTCCTTGAATGGTTCAGATCCTACCTCTCATACCGTCTCC